ATTCGAAACAATGCTGTAATCGGTCACCGAACGAAAAGATTCATATTGTGAAGTGCTGCTGGAACTTTTAGTTATTCGCCTCTCTTATTCGCCTTTATCCGCTTTTGTCGATTCTCTCCCTTGATAATTACATACGGGTATGTTTGTTATTTAATTGACTTCTCTGTGTCTATACAACACTGCTGAGTCTATCCGTGATTATCGTATAACAGCTGAATGACGTCACACTGTGATAGCAGAACCTACCAGGCTTACTTCCGATAGGAATATCTAGCGTAAACAATTTTTTAATTAAATTACCAGAATTTGGTAAACAGATAATCGGTGTAAATATCGTAAAATATCAGCCCATCGACGTATTATGAATCTTTATTTCGCGCGTTTTGCTCACTCACCAAAATGATTCACAATGTGACTTTACATGATAACAATGTGCACAAAATCCGATAATCTATGCTGATAAAGGTATTTGTCTTTTCTTAAAGACTTTATATTAACAACTGAAAATCTGATGTTTTTGTGGAGTTAGGTTTCTGTCTTATTGACGTACATGCAACACATCCCTTTTTATTTACGGCGGATTTTTTTTTAACAATATTAAGAATCATCGTGTTTTCTTTGTTTTTCACGGAGCTGAATTCTCGGCGAAACTTGGTTATGCTTTAGTTTGTTTGTTTAACTATCTATTTTATAATTTTGATTGTCTTTTCCTTCTACCGTTCAATGATTTTATTTTGTATCACAGTCTCTACGAGACTCGTCTAGCCACTATTTGGATCTATGTCTTGATTCGCTTTTTGGTAAGTTTACCTTCTTCAATTCCAGTACTTGCTACATTCCATGTATCGCATTCAATGTAAGGATATAATGTCGTCTACATTGTCACATTATCCTATTGTATAAATGAGGTTATGTGATATTTACCAATGTACCACACATCGACTGATTGGTAGTATAAAGTGGTGTTCAACAATTAATATATAAAGCAGATTCGTCAAAAGTTTAGAACTACATGTATTTGCATATAAAGTTGTTTGTTGACAATTTTATAGTTTGAATAAATACAAGGCGTTGGTTGATAGTACTTGTTTCAACCCCAAAGCCTTTTATCTTACTTTTTGTTCTTGTTCTTTAATAATAATAGAGGTTAGAGGTCACCAAGCTCTTCAGTTATTAGTCAGAAAAGATATGTTGAAAAATGCACTTGTATATACAAAAAAAAAACAAATACATAGAATAAGATATACCAATATGGAAAATGTTTGACACGGATTATTCAGTGCTTGGGAATGTTTGTATCAGCGAGGAGGACGAATTCATTCCATTTCTGGTGTCACGTTCAGTAAATCCGTCTTGTTTTGTGAAAATAAGTGTAAATATATTGATCCCTATCTTGAATGTAATTAAATTAACTGTACCAATTTTTCTGCAACAGAAACTACGTTATTACGTATTTAACATTGTTACAATCCAGCATGACTATATGGAGATGTGGCACAAACATCAATGAGACAGCAAGACAACGTCATGAAAACCAAACTAATATTACTGTTATATACATAAACACATTGACGGTTCTACAATCTGTCGATACCTGTATTTTGGCGTTGCTCAACGTCACGTTTTTCTCTGACTGTTGGTGACGTCTTTACACTAAATCCTTGGATGTTGGATGTGTGCTGAGTGATACTTTAGTCTTAGATACATGATTTTTTTATTAGTTGTTATTAGTTTTGAACTAGCTGACAGTAACTGCAAGTACTTTCAGAGCAGTACCTAGTGTGTTTTTTTGTCATAGGGATGTATAGATACCCTGTCACGTCTGGTCTGTGTTTTTGTTACTTGTTTTTCTGCTATGTATCTGATGAGTTAACCTTTTCCAACTGCTTTTTATAGTTTGTTCTTATGTTGTACTGGTACAATACTGTACCAGATTAGGGCAGGTTTAGGCGCCCACTAATATGTTTAACCTCGCCAAATTCTGTATTTTACTGTCCCAAGTCAGGAGCCTGTAATTCAATGGTTGTCGTTTGTTGCTGTATATCATATTTGTATTTCGTTCATTGTTTTTTTACATAAATCAGGCTGTTATTTTTCTCGTTTGAATCGTTTTACATTTGTCATTTCAGGGCCTTTCATAGCTGACTATGCGGTATGGGTTTTGCTCGTTGTTGAAGGCCGTACTGTAACCTGTAGTTGTTAACTTCTATACAATTTGGTGCATGGAGAGTTGTCTCATTGGCAATTATACCACATCTTCTTATTTTTATACATTGTTATGTATTATGGTTTACATGATTATATTATCAATTTATATTATATTCCATGTTTGAGCTGTTTTTCTTCTATATCACCTATTTTGTAATTGTTTAATACTAATCATTGTACTGATTTTTCCCATAATTGGTCCACACCTCACCTCACCTCACCTCACAAAGGTTTTAGTAGTTTACTAGTTCAGTGTAACATACAAAACCTGAGGGAATCGCAAGCGATATATGTTAACCGTCTCCTGCTATGTATGCAACACCCGCCATGCGAATCCACATCGTCACAATCTGGATAGGACACCATTGGTAGAATTACGGATGAAACGACTTTACTGGTATCCAAAGATCTAAGACCGATAAAAACATGTCGCTAGTGAGTTGAGACACCAACATATCGTATCGGTCAACCAATTCGTGATGGTGACGGTAAAATTATTTTAATGTCGATTTCAATATGATTAAAATTCAGATTTATCTTAACTCGCGTGCGTGTATATATAAGCCCAAATAAGGATAACGAAATCTGAGATCTATATTTTAATTAGATTGTGTCGATTCAGATTTCATAACACTGTTGGAGCAGTTTTGTGTAAGAACAATCCTGTAAACGAAGTCTCGGCCATCATATAAAACAGACACAGAGTACACATCAAAGAAACAAATACGACAATAACAATTTATCTAACAAAAATAGAAAGTTGTCATCAGATGGCAAAATGTCCACACTCTGTGACAGGCTGTAAATTACCCACACTCTGTGACAGGCTGTAAACAACCCACACTCTGTAACAGGCTTAAAACAACCCATACTCTCAAGCTGTAAGCAACCACACTCTGTGACAGGCTGTAAACAACCCACACTCTGTGACAGGCCGAAACAATACACACTCTGTGACAGGCTGTCAATAACCCACACTCTGTGAGAGGTTGTAAACAATCCACATTCTGAGACAGGCTGTAAACAACCCACACTCTGTAACAGGCTTAAAACAACCCACACTCTCAATCTGTAAGCAACCACACTCTGTGACAGGCTGTAAACAATACACACTCTGTGACAGGCTGTCAATAACCCACACTCTGTGACAGGCTGTAAACAATCCACATTATGAGACAGGCTGTTAACAACCCACATTCTGTGACAGGCTTTAAACAATCTCGTGTCTAGGCAGATTAGGAATACTAATGCCCACACTCTGTGACAGGCTGTAAACAACCCCGAGTCTAGGCAGATTAGGAATATTAATGCCCACACTCTGTGACAGGCTGTAAACAACCCCGAGTCTACGCAGATTACAAATACTAATGCCCATACTCTGTGACAGGCTGTAAACAACCCCGAGTCTAGGCAGATTAGGAATACTAATGCCCACACTCTGTGACATGCTGTAAACAACCCACTCTGTGACAGGCTGTAAACAACCCAAACTCTGTGACAGACTGTAAACAACCCCGAGTCTACGCAGATTAGAAATACTAATGCCCTTACTTTGTGACAAGCTGTAAACAACCCCGAGTCTAGGCAGATTAGGAATACTAACTAGAGAGAGTAAACAAACAAAATTTGAGAGACAACACACAATAAGACACGGAAAGAATCTTCACTTGGAAAAAGCAGAAAACCTGGCTGGGAAAAACTTGTTTTTGTGAATCCCCAACCCTTCTCATATACATCCATTTGATAATAAAACACACTAATGGTAGCAGTGTTTATATCCCGCTCAATCTGATTAAAATTCAAATCTATAACAACTCGCGTGCTCGTATTTGGAAGCTTATATGAGGATAACGAAATCAGAGATCTATAATTTAATTAGATTTGAGTTTCGCCAAACTCAATAGGTAGCGGATTATATCGGTGTTGCAAGGAATATTAATTATGTATGATTAGGGAAAAGATGCCTGTACCAAGTCAGGAATATGGCAGTTGTTTTCCATTCGTTTGATGTGTTTGAGCTTTTGATTCTGCCATTTGATAAAGAACTTTCCGTTTTGAATTTTCCTTGGAGTTCGATATTTTTGATATTTTACTTTTTTCTAATATTTGTCTTGTAGATTAAAATCACTCTTTAGTTTTGTTGCGTGAAAAGAAATTTCGACATCTTTTTTTCGGGTAACAAAATGACTTCGTTATTCTTATATACCCAGTCTCCAGTATTTATTTTTACAATGTAAAACATTCTTATATCTTATTTTCCTGGGTTGTGTAGGTAATCTACCTACAAAATAAAATGTGGATTAAAATTGTCCATAAAAGGATGATAACATTGTATACTTTATCTTACTCTTGATAAAACTAATAATTTATATTTTGAAAAACTTCGTAAGATTGTAAATCCCGCTATAAACTGTACACAAACTGTAAAGATATTCATTCATAAAATCTATGTAAAATACATTCAGAGAAAAAAATATCGGTCATGTTTTAAATAAGATTGTGTTTGATCGTTTAAGTAAATATTAAGTTTCTCAATGTTACAGGATATTTACTCGTTTATTGTCGACCACTAATTTCAATAAGGACACTTATATCTCGACCTATTTGATAAAAAAATCATTTTAAATCTGCCGTGTTTTTAAAATTACACAGGTAAAAACATTGCAGATATATTTCATTAAATCTATGAATGAACTATACCAAGAGTAGTTGTCGCCTACGTTAGGTAAAAATATATATACAGGACTCGATCAAGCGTGCGCTTGATAGTATGATTGACATTCGGAACTAGGTTCGCTTCCGATATATGAGAGGGTCTAACGAGACAGAAATTAATGTTGTATCAGCCTTCACAGTGTCGATATGGGAAGATGTGTATGCTTTATTGATAACATATAAATTATTTGCATATTAACAGGGAATTAAAGTAGTAGTAATTTATATTGTCTGCATTTTTCATGGACATAAATTTTAACTGTATATTTAAGATGGAATTACAACGTTGCATCCTTGCGTTGATTATACCTATTGTCTTCGGATACAGTACCTACCCTAGACGTTATACGCGGGATAGCGACTGGGGGGACTGCCCTTCACAGTGTCAGTGTGTAACATTAAATTCTAGAGGCCCACGGGATTTGTTTTCAGACTGGGCAAGTGATGAACCTTGGTACACCAAGACGTCTTTAGATATAAATTATCAACAGGATTCGGGCTTAGAAACCACAGGACGTAGCATGATCTGTCAAGGTCTACGCCAGCTTCCGACTCCACTTCCAAAAGGTAAGAAAAAAGATGAAATTTATGATAATATATTTGCCTGTCTTTTATTATCATTGAACTACTTTTGCATCTGTATACACTGCTGTGTTGGTATTTGTTCCATAACTTCCTTCCCCGACTTTGGCTGTTAGATATGGGACTTTTTGCTGTTTTACACGCATTTTACTACATTTTTGGCTTGTTACGTCCCCATTGAAGGTTAATCTTTGCAAAAGATGCTAATGGAACTGAAACCGCAGGCCAATAGTCGCGTTTTTCATAGAGGCAACTTTAGTTTTTCAATTTATTAGTAACCCACAATAATTATATTCCCATTAGGATATTTTTTTCATTTTTGTTTAAATTTATAACTAATACCTGCCAGAGAAATGCTTTAAATTAATAAACACACAAGTTTATGATAATCACAGAGATAGTTTTTCTTCTTTCATTTTATTTGTTTGTGCTAATTATTACCACAGGCCTGCTTTTAGAATTTCTAATATAAACGACTGTCATCCGTACATCCTTGTTACTATATTTAAAAGAAACGATGAAATTTAATGATAAAGTTGTTTTGTCATTTCTTAGAAGTAATATACATATATATATTAACTCTTTTTGTTGCGAATTTCCTTAATCAGATGTTAGTGAAATGTATTTCAAGTCTTATTACGTTCGTTTAGGAGAACTGAAAAACCTAAAAACTGTGAATTAGGAAGCTACAGAGGAATCAGAAGTGTAGATTTGTTACATAGAGACAAAAGACTATGCAGTTATATTATACAGTTTTGTCACTTATAATTACTACAGAATTATATAACATGCCTAGCATATTGTCTATAATTCTAACCATACCAGCCGACAATTTCTCTTCAACGGTTACATTCTAATATTTGCTTATTTTATTGATAGCTTTAAAACATTCAGAGAAAAAGTTACCAACAGAAAAATAAAAATGTCAGGATAAAATAGTATAATAACGAAAAGAAATGTGAAGTCGTGCGTTATAGGACTACGATTATTGACTCTTAACATGAACAAGTCGTTAAAACAACCAGTTCAAACAATTTTTTTCTTTAAAAGTCAAACAATTTGAGTATTTTTCTAAAATAAAACACTGAAACTTCTACATGTCCGATATCTTTACAAATTGTCTGAGATTCAAAATAGTTAAAATGTTCAGTCATATATACTTTGTTTGTAATTATTCATAACTAATGAAATCTTCCGATTTTGATTGAACGGTCTATAGCTAGCAACAAATCGATTCTGTGAAATGGAAATTTAACATGCAGTAAGTCTTAACTCTGCCAAAAATTTACATTCTTGAACAGCTAGCTTGTAGCCCCGCAGTGTTCATTTGCAAATGGTGTTCGTGTACAAATCTTTTGTAACATTTGGTAATTGGTTGTCATTTTCATTGCATAAACAACATCATTTATTCGACCAAACAGTTAGTTCGTGACCTTTATGTGTTTATAACCATTTATTGCAATTAAAATGATTCTAAATTACAGTATATTGTGCACTGCCAATATATTTTATTGATCATTTATTATATGTTTGACTGATTCTCTCATTTCCGTCAAGTAGCTTGTTCTGTATAATAAACTTTAATTTTGAAAAAATATATAACTTAATGTCAATATAAGAATTATATTTTATGATAATTTTCAAATATATATATATTAGAAAATATAGGCCAACTGAACGTCTGTCTCTATATAGGAGTGTATATAAAACTATTTATGAATACACGCTTAAAAAAATGTAATTCTGTCCTTGACTTGTGAAAAAAATTAGCCATGGACCGGCAAATAGAGAATGTTGCATGGTTAAACATGTTTGTGAGCGCTCAACCCTCATTGTAAGCGTGGACAGTGACTGTAACAATTCCATATGGCTTAATTCATCAGATCGGCACAAAGCATAACCACAACTAACAAAAATACAAGAGACCCACAGGTCCGATCTGAGAGTTCTTGCAGTCACCGGAAGTTAGTTAAAAGCTAATTACAAATACAGAAACAAATCAAACAATTATTATTCTAACGGCAACATACTTTAATCTTCAAGGGAGGTAAATTGTACTTGGAGATCGTAATTGTCTCTACCAAGACCAGGGGAGGTAAATTGCACTAGGAGATCAGGAAGTCCATTTTTATTGACGATTTAATAGTTTACGGTACTTTTATTTGATGGTATCAAGTTGTATGTCAAGGCTAAGAAACGATGCAGGTACTCAACAAATCAGTAACTGTATCTAACAAATTATATACAACAATTATTGCAGAATAAATTGGTCTGAATCAATTATTGCAGAATAAATTTTAGAAAATTTATCATTCGAAAACACTTAATAAATTACAATAATGAACATCGAAATCAGAAAAAATACAAGTGTTCATATAATAAATGGTGTAAAGTGGTTTTCAACATGAAACTGACATGATTATATCCAGGATAAAGTATTATCCTGTTTAGTGAAAAAGTGTCAACGTTAAAAAAAACGTACAACATTATGCATGAATCATTCTTTTTTATGACAATTTAATTCAAACTTCAATTATTGTACAAACATTTTATTGCATAATCGCATTGTAAATTGAACAACGGAGAGTAAAGTGTGATACATTTATCTGATAACTAGAGAGAAAACGTATCCATATTTGCCCCCCTGCTTCGGCTGTAAGCATAGACCTGCATGACAAATTAGCATTGACATTTGGTTTGTTTTCATTTGTAAAATATAGGCTTCCGCTATGTAAATAATAATTTGTGATTTTAAGAGTGTGCATGGGGTCCGACATTTGGAAAGCTTCTTTCTTTTTAAATTGATATACACATCGAATTAGGAAAACTTGGTGTAAAAATAGTCAATTAAAGGGTCAAATTCATTGTTATAAAGGTTATCGCTGAGGATTATCTGAAACTTAGGAAACTTCACACGATATTAGTCTTAAATAGAATGTTGCTGCTTAGAAGGAAGTTACTTAACAAATTGTGCTGTAATGGTGAAGGTTCGTCATCCGTATAAAAGATCAATACAGACTATGATATGTTTAGACCGTAACGGAATATTTATATCACGAATGGTGAAGGTTTCCTATTTTCAATTTTTTTTTTGGGGGGGGGGGGGGGGGGGCATAAAACAGTAAAAAGGTGCCTCCATACACTAGGCGCTATTTTTACAATCTTTCACAAATACGACCGGTTTTTTTTCTTGAATCCTTGATCCGCCGCAAATGTATACCCCACATCTCCTTTTATTCATATTACCACGTGATAAAACCTGCTCAGACCGCAAATTAATTGTGGCTACATGTAGTAAAATATTAATAATCATTTGTGTAATCATTTAGGTAATTTGTAAGATCTATGACATTAACTTTGTCAATTTAAGTGAATATAAAGCACCGCACTCTATGTGAGGGATAGTCATCGATCATCCTGACTATAGTGTTGATTTTATTTACTAATCGCACTTAAAACCACAAATTTATATTAACCGCAGCGCACAACCGTGACAATTCATTCGCAATTGATGAATTGTTTAGGGTATAAAGTTATAGATAAAATTCAAACAGAAAGCAGGGGGTTTCAACAGTTCAACGGGTAAACTGATATATACAAAGACCTTAATTCTTTTCCACAAAAGTGTCATTTAAAGTCAACTACAAGTAATAATTCAACGTGGTCCTGTATAAAATTACATTTCAGTGGACTCCTGAGGTCTACAAGTAGATTTGATGGGTCAGTTCTTTGTTTTATACTAACTGACAGAAGCCGTTTCAAACAATAATCATGTCGTTAATTTGCACCTGTACAGGTAAGACACTATTAATCCATGTCTACAGGTGAGAGAACTAAATCCATGTCTAAGTCCGTTGTTTGACGAATGTTTCCCTTTATATCGTCAATGTCTATAACCCAGACCTCTTGAAAGTGTAAATATCCTGTTGTAACTACTTATGCCAAGATCTTTTTAACCTATAATTATTAATTTATTAAGGAGATATCGTTAGCGTAGGCGTATGTGTAATTATAATAATTCACCATTTGCATAAATGAATCCTGATACATGTATGTAATGAAAGTTTTAGACAAAATGAAACTAAAAGCAGACATCTTATTGGAATGCAGAACAAGGTTTAAAAATGATTCATATTAAATTATTTGTTGTAGAGAATTACATGTTAATTAAACATTGTAAGGTTCAATTTAGAATGTGGTATATTACTTTCTTACATGTCTACAGAAATATCACATTTTTGACAGATGCGTAAATCAATTAAGTTAGCCCGTTAAGTAGTTATCTGTTGTCATTATGTCCCGTCAGGGGCCCTTGATTGGAAATAAAGAACTTTGAACTATATACGTTTAGTTCAGTTTAGAACGTTACCGTATAGTGCCGTGCAACTTTTGAAGCAAAAAAACTTACTAAATTGAGAGGACGCGTAAAATCGTTTTACTACACAGATGTTCTTTCTTTGTTAAAATACTTGCTGGGAAAAGTATACATCTAAGATCATCTAACCTATTCTAACATTTTTAAAGTACAAGCAGACAACAAATTGCCGTCTAAAATACCCCAAAACAGACAATAAAGTGCCCTCTAAAATACCCAAATAGACAACAAAGTGCCCTCTAAAATACTAAAAACAAACAACAAAGTTCCTTCTAAAATACCCATATCAATTCGGCATCCGTTATTACCATAAACTGTCAAACAGTAAGTTGTCCAGTTTGAAGTACGGTATCCCTTTTAACCTCTTGATGACCTTTCATTTGAAAATTTGTCCTTTCATTTATACAATAAATGAATCACTAGGCATTGTTTAGGATTGTGTTGTTGTTATCAAAAGAGCACAAAACAAGAAGGACGTTTCAATGTCTTGGCAGTATCAACAGCTTGAAGGTCTCGGCGGCTAACTGTTTACGCAGCTTAAAATTCTTTCTATAAACAATACCACATTAAATGGAGAGCTGGCTTTGTTTCGTTCTCAACACGACATCTT